ACATAACACAAACACATAATTCATTACGTTTATACAGGTACTGTACATGTGCCGGCCGGCTATAGATCCCGACTGAGGAAGGAGTTGACTTGCTACCACTAGGGTGGGGGTAGGGTAGATAATACCCACTAGGGTGGGGGTAGGGTAGCAAGTCAACTCCTTCCTCAGTCGGGATCTATAGCCGGCCGGCACATATACAGCGTAATGAATTATGTGTTTGTGTTAGGTGTTTTTAATGTTTAAATATTTTGACGAATCTGCAAGATGAATTGACAAATGTATCCACGGACCTGAAGATAGAGCTTAAAAGCTCTGAAATGCGCATCGTCCTTTAGTGACTGTATCAGAACTGTTTTGACTGTATAAGGTACGTAACCTAGATAATACTTTGAATAACAGTTCAGGAGGCAAAATAATGAATAAATTAAACATTTAACTAAGACATTTTAAAACAAACTTAATTAAGATCAGAACACATAACTGATTTTTTTATTTCAGGAAGAGCCAGCTGGAAAGAAAACAAAGGCAGAAACAGAACTTTCACTGCTCGTGAACAGAATAAAAAGTAAAACAAAAAATAAAATAAAAAATTAAAGTTATGTACATTTTTTAAATTATTTGTTTGCAGTTTGATTTCAGATCCTAATCCTGACTTTATTAGAGGACCGGGATTGAGTTGTATAAAATCATAGCCAAAAAGAGACAAATGGCGTAAACCAGACAAACTGGTCCAGATAGTTTAAGAAATAACTTATAAATCAAATGCTAGATCGGGAAATCTAGATGATGGTCTTGATCTGTCAGCCCTCCTCTTCAATGCTTAGTAAATTGTTTTGTGTATAAAAAAAGTATTTTAGCAATAAGTTTATTGCTTAGTAAAAGTTGTGTTGACATCTTTGTAGCTTTTAAATGAACAAGTCTTTCACAAGTTAGGCTCACAACTATTATCTTCATATTTTGTTGTGGTGTTTCCGGACCAATTGACCGAACCTCTCCCATACACTGAAAAACCAGATAAAAAAGCATGGCAAAATCGTAGCCTTCAAAACATCTAACTCCAAAATCTCCTTTCCGTAAAAAATACACCACAGGATTTTTGTCAAAAAACAGGAGTTTATAAAATAACCTGTAATGACTGTGATAAGTTTTACATTGACCAAACTGGAAGGCCCTTTGTAAAGAGGTTTAAAGAACATCTTCCCAAGAAAACCATCGTTCAAAAATCAAATTTCGCCGACCATTTGGTAGCCAGTAACCATAGTTATACTGATATAACAACAAATTTGCAGCCTTTACATATTTGCCAAAAAGGCCGAACAATGACGGCATTGGAACAGTTCGAAATTTACAGAGCCTCTAAAATTGAAACAACCTGTTAAACGACAAAAACACCCTGCAATCCAACATTCTTTTTGAAACCTTAATACAAATGAATAATAGCAGAAACAATGCTGCACTAGCTACGTCACCAGGACAAAGGTCAGATCACGACCAACTACCGTCTTCAGTCGAGTCTCGACACACGTCTGGCGCGCCTCCATATCCTGCCCGTGCACGCGTAGCAAAGTTAAAAAATGTTAATTAATGGTCGACCGGTTTTTATGTGTGTTTTGTGTTGTGAATATTTTACGCACCTCTTCAGGGAAGTTTAGTGTAAACAGTTCTTATACGGATCAGACGATGGCGCTCGCGCCGAAATGTACATAATCCACTAGGACAATACTTTGCACCACAAGGCGACAAGCAGGTTTTTTAACCTTTTATTTATTTGTCACAACTATTATTTTTTAGATTGAAAAATACATAAAGAAGTCTGGCATATTACAATACGTTATTTTTAGAAACTTAAAAAAGCATTATCGGTAGGTGTTATGAATAATTGGCAGGGAAAAGCAGATAAAAATCAGCAATGTAGTTAGGGTGACAATAAACAATAGACAATAATGTGAACGCTAATGTTCTGATGTAAAATATTGAAAGATAATTATGGATACCTTTTATTTCTCAAAATTAAATCAGTACTCAGTATAATTTTATCACCAACTAAAATCTAGGTCAATAGAGACCCATTATTTATAAAAGTTAAGGATTTAACATACAGTAGACTCCCTCTTATCCGGACAACACTCGGTAGAAGTGACAACTCTTTATCCGGATAATTTTTATCAGCACATCGGTTTAACCGGACTAGATCGGCAGGAAGTGGGCGGTACTGAAACGACTGTTTTCGCGGGAAAGATTTGAGACCAGTGATTACGTGTCTAGATACAATGCTCTTCTAATTTCAGTCAAATACTGTATAGAGTATGCATTTAAACGATCCGTTTTAACGAGATTTTGGGGACGTCGGTTTAACTGGAAATATTAGAGGGAGTCTACTGTAAAGCACAAGGGCCAAGGTTTTTAGAAATTTTTGGAAGGATCAGCAGGCTTAGCTGAGTGGAAAAGAGTCCAAACTGGCACAAGAGACACAAAATATTAGAATATCTCACTGTCACTGACAGTATTTAACAAAGGGGGATAAAGTTTTCTCCAGGACCATATAGGACCTGGAGAAAACTCACTCTTCCATAGTTGAAAATGGTGTCAGTAACAGTGATATATTCCAATGTTTTGTAACACATCAACACTTGAGAAAAACCAGGCAAAAACATACTTTAAGGAAAATGAAATTTTTTATAATAAAAAATGTTGATTCTGATTTGCCATAAACAATCGGTTTTGCAACAATCACTGAATATACAATATTACCACTATCAGTACAGGTATTCAAGGGTGACCAATGAAATTCTCATAGCATAATAACAACAGCTTGTTATATTATTTACAAATGTATTAATAGCTTTATACACACAACAGGCTACCCACAGTGCTAACATTTCTACTTATGATATATACAGTGTCAAAAACAGAAGTGCCTTCTTACAGTACGACTTTAAACAAATCTAACATTGTTTCAGAAACTGTTGAAAACTATGCTGCTTTATCATTATTGTGATCATTTATAAGAAAGACAAAAAAAGTATTTAAAAACAAGTTAATTTAATGAAATAAAATTGTCTCTTGTCCTAAAAAATGTTTAAGCAAAAGGAGATTTTATTTTTTATACCATTATCATGTTTATGTTGTAGCCAATTTTAAAATGAAAATAAATGTTGAATTGAGCCACAGATAAAGTGAGCTGGTGTCAAATACTGCTTTTAGTCAAATATCCAAACTTTATAAACTGATAAAAAGCAACTCACGTCACATCAACTCTCATAGTAACAAATTTACACTACCATTTCAACAAGTGGCAACAAAACAAATCTTAAAATTAATTAGTGTGAGAAAAAAATTCATAGTTTCCAAAAAAATCATACTTTTCAAATAAATTAAAACTAAGAGTACCAGAGAAACAATAGACTAGACATTTCACAGCTACAACCTAAAGTTTTAAAATGTTAGAAACAAAACAGGCTAGAAATAAAATAACCTAATTTCAATTACTCAAACCCTACTACGGTACTTCGTAAAGAATTTTTTATACATAAAATATTAGGAAAAAATGATCAATCAACATAATAAACTAAGATGGTCTGTAGTGTTGGGGCTGTTTGCAATTAAAATAAAAAATTCAAATCTATTATGGGGATCAAATAACTCTTATTCTTAAGTTAACGCCTTTGCAATACTTGTAGTTAATTTAGTGCTCTCCCCATCAATTTCTATCAGAATATACCTTACAGTTTTGGGCTCATATCCCGTTACTAAAAAGCAGAAAAATAAAGCAGCTTATTAAAAAATAAACATTTTCAACTACAGTACTAACTAAAAAATCATTTTGACAAAAAGACAGTACGTAATATATATTGTAAACCTTTTGTAATAGTTTATTTATCACTAGGCCCTTGTGATACTTTTCAAAAATCAACTCAAATTTTATGACCAAGGAAAAGCTGATGGCCCAATGAGCGAGAGTCTACAATACACTTTGGGCCCGTGTTATGAACAATGTCTTCTGCCATACCTCTAGCCTCCTTTAATTCATAAAAAAATCTACCTTGTTTTTCTTCATAGATTGGTTTCCAAAGTAAGTATCTTTGATCTTTTTTTGCAAACAGAGCAAAAATATATTTGAAGAACAGGTTGTATTACTCCACCAATGCAATACACAAATCAAATTACTGAGGTATGTTTCTCTTTGTGTAAATACAAATAAAGGGGAACAATTACTTATTGTAGTGAAATAAATAGTATGAAGCCGCATTTAGAATGGAGCTTAAACTAATATTTCGTGTTAATATTTCTTACACATGTATTATACAGTTATTTTTTGCTGCAGTAGACCAATTAATTGTGATTTCAGTGTAATGAAAAAAAGTTGTTTAAGTTATTATAGGTACCCTTATATTTTGGTATATATAGGCTACCCATGTGTTTTTTTATACGTATTGAAATTAAATGTTTGTATTGCATTATGCATTAACCCTCCAATGCATTACCGTGAAACTTTGGGAAACTGTCCTTCAGTTTATATACACGGTATATAAAATTTGTATACAAACAATAATTTTTACAGTTTTGGGCTCATATACCGTTACAAAAAAGCAGAAAAATAAAGCAGCTTATTAAAAAATAAACATTTTCAACTACAACAGTACTACTAAAAAATAATTTTGACAAAAAGACAGTACGTAATCATAAACAATTTTTGTCTTTTCTTTTTGTGTAACTAATTATTACGTACCGTAACTAATTATTAAATCACAAAATAGAAACCAAAGACACCCTGTATTGAGTTGTTACAATACTTGAAGAAAGATGTCAGTTGTCCCTATTCCTAGTCTCAAAAACAGGGAATACAGCCTATATTGAAAGGTACCAAAGAATAAGTTACACAATCTGCTCTAGTAGACATCTATAAATAAACAAAAACACTGATCAGGGAATGTTCAGTGTTACTACAATATTTTTAATAATTGCAATGAAGGGATGTATAATTAAATTTAACTAGGGAATTCTTGTAACAAATCAGTTTTATTGTAAAACTTTATTTGATTTTTTTATTTAAGTGATTTGCCAACACAGTATAAGTAAAGCCAGTAGTATTACAAACCACTTCCAAACCATTTGAATTAATTACATTCCAGACCTTATACATAGAATAAAAAATGACATGATTTTGTTATTTTGGAATTCATTACGTTAAGTCAAATAAAGTAATATAAATTAAACTTTTATAAAAATACTTCAAAATATTGTTCAATAAATAATTTAAAAGAAAAAAATATATATAAATAGCAACAGTTTAAAAAATAAGATTTTAGTTCAGAGAGAGAATAACTAATTACTTGCAGGTGACTCAACTTTAACAATGAAACATAATTAGTAACAAACCTCATCAAGAATCAACAATCGACAGAATAATCAAGAACCAAATAAGACTACATGTAAAGTTATGATAATTAATAGTTCATGCTCATTGAAATAATTAAAATTATAAAGGTAACAAACTGTCCTTGGAAAATAACCAAGTTCGGTTCAAGTCAATCAAATTCTATTGGACCCAACAAAATACTAACTTTTAACAGTCAAAAGGTAATCAATATAAAACTTCTGTTGAAAATATATCAAAATTAATGAACTATCAACAAATACTATGTTATTTAAAGACTATATAAATATATTATTACATTTTCCTTTACAGTTGTTTCTTGTTTAGTAATTACACATCACAAAAAAAGGTAAATAAATATTACTATCATAAACCAATATCGGCTACACTTATAATTTGGCATAACGAGCAGAAAACTTAGGCACAAGGCGTTTCATCTGAGCCATAGCTTGAGTCGCAGTGCGTCCACACCGTTGAGATAATATCTGAACAACCGCTTATCTCGGACAAATCCCAGATTCTCATACAAGCGGAGAGCTGGTCGGTTTGTGATTTCTGTCTCTAGTACCACCTGGAACATAATTTTTCTGGTAAATAAATCTAGCTTAAGTAAACCTTACTTTCAAGTTGAACTGTTTTGATATGTATCCTTTGACGTGGGCATTTAGTTTGTGATTTCTCTACTAATATAATTTTGTAGGTTACCCTATGTCATTGTAGTTTGGTAGTTGGTAGATGGTAGTTTGGTAATACAGAAGAAGACCATTAGGGCTCTCATGGACCTTTACCTCACAGATAGCTGTAGAGAAGCCTTTAAATCGCTAAACCTCCCAACCGTCATACACTGACCAGCAGGACCTTCCCAGGAATGAATATATTCTTCCATACCAGACCAGAAGAGCAACAAGCAACCAATTTCAGCCTTCCTGCACACCATATTTTTTATTATTCCTGAAGGTATTTCGCAATAAAAAGAAAAAATCATATTGTAAGTGCCTCTTCCTTTTGTCAAAGATCTTAAATTTGCGTAAATTTACAACCCAGTTCAGTAAGAAACCATCCTATATCGGCCACAAGTACATCAATGCACTGTCCCAAGAACAAGAACTCAAGACTATGAGAGGAATCATACTAAAACAAGGACTGCAAGACTGGCTGGTGGAACAATCTGTTTACTCAACCAAAATTTTTTTTAATCTCTTATAATGATAGAGGACCAGAAAATACCCGTAAAGCAAGAGATCTAAACATAATGCTATCTCGTAATTCTTGAAGAAAATAATAATAAAGAAATTTGTCTATTGTCTATTTATGAATTGCGAACCTGTGCACTCCTTATTAAGGTTACTAATATACAGTGGCTTAGCCAGTGGAAGGACAGACCTTATATGAACTGTGTCCAGCTTGAGTAAATGTCGGCGGCACTAACCCAATAAAAAAAGTAGGATATTTAACCCTCCGAGTGTTATGTGTCGAAAAATCGACACATAACACACTTTGTGTAGTGTTTTGTGTCGATTTTTTGACTCACAAACACTGTTTACGGCGAAGGCTCTATGACTGACAAAATCGGATTGAACTGGATCAAGTTAGGTATCGTTTTATTTGGCAGATTCTAAGCTTTCTCCTGAGGTCTGTCTCTAAACGTTTTTTTTTCTCGAGCCGATCATAATTGTAGCAGACAGCTGACGTGCGTATTTGTAAACAGCTTGGTTAACCTCGCACCGATGACTGATGTGTTTTATTACGTTTATCATTGTTTTAGTGTTAAAAATCAAAAGTAGTGATATACGTGGTGCATTATAAGAAGATTTAAGTGATTGTGAAGGGCTGGTTGATGATCCTGAAGAAGTAGGTAGTGATATTGATGTAAAATATCAGCCAGATTCCTAGCTATGGTTAGGCTATGCATTCTTAGCTAAACGCTATGTACTGAAATCTGTTTTTTGCCCATAACTTATTTATTTGCAAATCTACTTCCTTATATTATTATATATTTGTAATCTTCATAAAATTTAGAACAAAGTGACTATTTTCAAATATTTATAGGCCTATAATTTATGCAATTTCATTGAGCGCAAACTTATTTTTTTTAATTTTCCTAAATATTTTTTTTTACCTAAAAATGTTTTTGAAACAAATGTTCCTTATGTTTTATGTATAATATTGAAGCTCATGATTTTCCAAACAAAATGGTATATAGAACAGTATAATTAACATTGTTTTTAAGCTTCTCAGATCCGTTTTAATAAAACCTTGCAAATGCGCAAAAAATAGGCAAACATTAAGGCCAAAACTAGGGACACTCGGAGGGTTAATGGATAGTGTCGGATATCAAATTTGGGCTCGGGTTAGTTACAAATATCCAATCGCACCTAATCAGAAGAGTTATCGTGCTTTTTTGAAGAGTTATCGTGCTTACGGACACACATATATATATATTTAAAAGGGTAGGCCTACTATGGTTTATTTTTCTATTAACATATATATACTATAAATATAAATTTGAAATGATGATGCTTTTGGCCTCTGGGGACATCAAAACGAAAAAGTAAATCGGTCCTGGTTACCATGAGACCTACGGTACTGTATTAGCTCATTCCTTATATGGGAAATTCGCCCATAAAAAGCTAACAGTATGCCTTAAAATCCGTAATCACCGGATTGTTCATTATACGAATTGTGTACAGTATATGTTATGTTCCTATTTACAAATGAATTGTCACAAGTAGGCCTTATGTTTTACCATCGCATAACAACCAACTCACCTCATCGGCATCGTCAGCAACCATTGCACGAATGGCTTTCAACACCAAATTCGATCCTGAAATAGAAAAGAAAATGTAATATAATATCAGGTTTAAACAGCTTGAATGGATTTTTTTGTTATTTAAGTTTACTGTACTCACAGAGACAAAAGGATTAAACTATGATTTTATACCTAGTATTGTTTTAGCCACTCAATATCGTAATTAAAACGATGAAATAGACTAGATAATGTTGAGTGGATACACCTTTTGTGGTAAGGAGTCAGTGGAGACATAATACAAGTGGAACTGATATTGACAATGAACAGTGTTAACATTGAAGATGTCCTCTTGATCCAATATTTTCTTTTGTTACTGTTAGGGTTCTCAGGGTCCCTCCATCAAAAAAGAGGACAAAATTACTCACCAAGGGTGGTTCTAGACATATATTTTGGGGGGGGGGCACCGGGGGGCCTGGGGGGGTATGGAATACCCCCTAGCAATGGAGGGGGCCCCCCGGGAAAATTTTGGAAATAACGTGCTCAAATTAGTACTTTTTAAGCTATTTTGAGGACCTAGTTTAATGTGTTCAAGCTTCCCAGTTTATTTTTTAAAGGTCAAGAAATGTTAAAAAATAAACTTGTACGTTTCGTATAACGTCATGTTTTTTTTATTATTGAGACTTGTGGTTTTAATATCAAAGGAATACCGCAACATTACAACACATTCAAGAATGCTTGATTTACAAAAACACCCTGGTGCCAATGTGCATGCCAAACAGAAATTGTCCTAAATCAGACCATGATTTTGAACCAGAGAACTTATTTTATATAAGAAGTATTTAAGAACTATCACCCAACACGACTGCATTATACCTGCCCAGCAAGCAACAGTTAACCTACACAAAGAGTACACTACCCAACTAACGATGCCGTCGGCGTCCCGTCACTGCTACCGCCTGAAGAGTTGGTTCTCAGTGTTCTAATTTTTTTCTATGCCAGTGGCATTTTAAAAGGGGTCAATGTGAGAATAAAGTTTTTGTGCAACTTTTTTGTGGTTGTGAGTAGTTGTGCCGGGAATTAAATCCGTCCCTTCCGCATCTAAGTCTGAGACGCTACCATTTTGTTGTTGTTTTGTGGCTAGCAACATACCAATTGGGTAGTGTTATGCTTAAATATGATATCAGGTGCTCTAAATATGAATGATTTAATATTGAAATTTTAAAAAATTTCCATGGTAGTCATTGAGTTACATTACTGTAATGACAAATTCCTATCGCTGAACTCAGATAAATTAATATTCAACTACCCTTCAAGCTTGGACTTTGAAACAACTTCTTTTCTTTGTCCAATACCCAATTCAAGTTTTCAACTATCTAGGTTAAAATGAATCAACATTAAATGCCAAAAAATTAAATAAGAAAAATGCGGCCGAACGCCAGCATCGGACACTGCCGTTGCCGTATATGGCTGAAAGCGTCCGTCGTCTGCCGATCTTCCCTACTTTTCATAACGTACAAAAAATAGTCAGACTCGAACGATCCCGAGGTTTGGGTTAGAGTTTGTAATTAGTCCATTCGTTCGCCACAAGTGTAAAGACTACAATGAATTCAATTTGGTAGAACGATTTGCAATAAAAACTATTAAAGTTCCCCTGGTATAATAGTTTAGTAAGATATTATCAAAGTGTAACTATTACTAACTTAGTTTAATGTTATGATGATGATTAATTATAAAAGCTGATTGTTAATATTAATACTTGCAGAAATATTTTTTTATTCTCTCACAAAGTCAAAATCCCGGACATTTGAAAGTATTGCCAAAAATCCCCCCGGACGTTTTTTTTGTACCCAAAAAGAGGACGTGTCCGGGAAAAAGAGGACGTCTGGGATCCCTAGTTACTGTGCCTACAGGTTTTGTGAAGGTTAACTATTTGGCAATGGGAATCTCATTAGATTATTGTAAGTAAATGTATAGATTAGACCATTATAGTCAATGATTTATTCAAAATGATAAAGTCTGTGCAGGATGGAAAAAACTGCAACTAAAACTACCTTATAAGTCACTGTTGGGTAATAATGACATAGGGTGGACTGTATTTTCTTTTGTAGAGATAAACTACTTACCAGTAAGGGACTAAAACTATTTAGTATTCAGCTTGAAAAAAAAAATAATGTAGCCTAGCCTAAAATTGTAAGTTTTGGAAACTTAACTGGTATTTTGCTTCATTAGAGATTAATGCAAAATCATAAATTGTCAAAACTAAACAAAGTTAAATTCAATTTTCCTAGAGTAAGCTAAAAAAAATGTCACAGAACAATTTAACCAACCAAAAAGGGGTATGAGAACCCTTTCTCCACCTTAACTTCGCTAAAATGGTGAAAAACTACTAACATACCTATTTTTCTTTTCCTATATCTCTCATCAACAGCCAGCATTGCTATATAACCTCTTTTGACCACTTTCCTGTGTATGTCCAACTTGCAAACAATGGCACCAACACATTTTGAACCATCCATGGCCTGTAAATAGTGATTGTAATAATTTGTAATCCATAATTTGTATAAAACTTAAAAATATATCTTAGGCTGTACTGGTAAAAGAAAGTAGAATATTTAACAGAAAGTAGGCTACAAAGAGGTGATACTAAAAAAATAATCATGGTAAAATTACAGTCTCATTTCATAGCATTATTTTTTATCGATTTGATAACTTAGTTGGCCTAGTCAGTTTGGCTTAGGCCACAACAGGCATGGTGTAGTGGCAGAATTTAATGGCATTGTAGGCCTATTAGCAAACCTTAACAAAAGATGAAGCTTGCTCCAGTAGCAAAACTAAAGCCATGTTGTCATATGCTGTCTTAACTTAAGTCACCAGGGCCTGCTTTAATGTCACAACTAAGTTATTGTCAGCTCTCATATTCATTGTGCCTTAGGCCTACAGGTCTAACTGCAGATAGATCTATTGCTATATTGACATTACTGGTAAACTCATGTTTATTGGCTTGTATCAACTGTCATGAGGTTTAATGGATACTTGATTACTTAAAGGATATTGATGCTTTCAGGAAATGAATCATTCTCTCTCTCATTCACATTCTTTCCTGTTAAAGGGAAAATTCATTATTAGCCTATTGATGATTTCTTTTAATATCGATATTTTTGTTTTTGTTTGGATCCATATTCCTTATGTTTTATAATAGGCCTATCTTCAAAAACATTTAGCCTAAATTAAGTACAAATTGAGGTATCTTGTTTAGGGAAGAATAATATAGCCTATCCAAGAATTGTATGAAACTGTTCTAAACTAACCTAACATAACTAATCAAGGTATGTGTTAACTTTAGGGGCTTCTGAAAATTGTTTGGCTATTATTTGGCCTATTTTGAAAACTTTCCCCCCTTTTTTACTTTTAATGTGTTTTTATGAATAAACCTAACCTAACATAACCTAACCTTGGTTTGATAAAAAATCTGTTGGTATATGTATATTTGGCTTACGCACATGTTCATGAGGCTCAACAACCATTGCATGGCATTTTTACCTAGGTTCTTTAGCTGTTCGACTCTGATCTCGTCAATACCTGGAGCTCTATTAGTCTTTAAGCTGGTAATGACTGCAGTTAGCTCGAACATGGAGAATGGTTCTTCTAGGAAGTGATTCTCACTTGCCACACCACGCACAACAGGCTCCCGGTATTTCCTTCCATAGGTTTTGCTATTTAAAAGAAGGTTGGTAGCGACTTGATCGGCAGTAACTGTTGCAAAGTTGTCTTTTGGTTTTGTCGCATCTCCATTTAAGTTCTTGAGGAACTTCCAGGCCCGTCTGCTGTTCACCTGCATATCTAAACATACCCAAACTAAAATTTTGGGTAGCGTCTTTGCTCCAGCTCTTTATAACATATACACTAATGACCAACCGTTGCCAAACGCTATAAGTCAGTATATATATGCCGATGATACTGCGGTGGCGGCACAAGGTAGGAGTTTTGAAGAGGAGGAACAGAAGCTGACTATGACTCTAAATGATCTTTCCCAGGACTATGACGCAAATCACCTCAAGCCTAACCCTGCTAAAACCCAAGTTTGTGCCTTTCACCTAAACAATAGAGAAGCAGGGCGTGAGTTGAATGTGAGGTGGCGGGGAGACCGTCTTCAGCATCGCCCTACACCCAAATATCTTGGTGTCATACTGGATCGCACACTGACATTTAAGGCGCATTGTATTGCAACAAGGGGTAAAGTCTCAGCGAGGAATAATATCATCAGGAAGCTCACCAGCAGATGCTGGGGTGCTAACCCTAATGTCCTCAGAACCTTAGCTTTAGCACTCAGTGTGTCGGCTGCGGAGTACGCTACACCAGTATTGAATGCATCGTCACATGCAAAAAAGGTTGACATTGCAGTCAATGACATGGCTCGGATTGTAACTGGGTGTTTGAAACCAACCCCAGTACACAAACTCTACTATCCTATCGTAGGGATCGCCCCTCCATCAATCCGACGTGATGTCGTTGCCGACGCAGAAAGGACTATGCAAGAGACAGACCCTTGTCACCCATTACATGGCCACCAACCTGCAGAGCGATGGCTTCGGTCCAGAAAGAGCTTTTTATCACGGACCGAGTCCTGGATGGATCACTCTCAAGCAATCGGGTGGCAAGGTGGGAGGCCACGTTGACTAACCCTCCCATACCAGCCAGGGAGGAACTGGGTCCTGGTGGAGGCCTTCATTACACGTTGTGGAAGACCCTAAATCGAATCAGGGTCGAGGTACCAAAATGCAAGACAAACATGCAGAAATGGGGTCTCTTACCCGACGAAAAAAACATCTTGTGCGCGTGTAGTGCTGTTCAGGATCCTGGCCATCTGCTGATCTGGCCCTCGCCTAGACCAGTCTTGCACATTAGATGATCTTTTACAAGCAAATGACGAACCCATATCGGTAGCCAATTTTTGGAAAAGCGAAGTCTGATTTCCGGAAACGGAAAGTGAATTAAGTATCAAAAATCCGTCAATTTCAGCATTTTGCTAACTTAAGCATGGGTTAGGTCGAGTTAGATTAGATAAAGTTAGGTTGGATTATACTTATTTTGGTTAACCCAAAAATGGGCATTTTCGACACAATATTTTTATAATTTTTCAACCCTGATTTTCTGGGTAAAAAACGGCATTTGCCAAAAATGTTCCAGAGGAAAAAAGTTTTTAAAATGTCCTAAATAATAATAAATACCCCCGCCGCAGCAAACCTGCAGACTAAGCGAATTTCCATTCGACTGATTGGATTTACACTGAAATGTCTACTTAAAAATATAACATTTATTCCCGATCTAAATAAAATTAGTTTAACAAGTACTAGGTTTGCTGCATCAGGGAGGGTAAAACTGTTTTTTTTTTTTATGTGAATAGTTAGTAAGAAATAAAAGCATTTTCCAAATTTGATCAAAATATGTTCACAAACAAGCAAACTACAACAGTTTACTTATTCTCCATAAGAATAACATGGGAATTTTAAATTTACAATTTTTTGGAATTTTCTCCGTAACCATTAGGCGCATAATAACTCTTCAATATACTAAATTATTTGTTTTTTTAAGCTCTACAAAATGGTTTGGAAAGAAATTGCTAAATTTTATGTTTTTTGGGTCAAAAATGGGAAAACCTATTTTTACCCCATAAAACCCCCCGTAAACCCCCGTTCCCATGGTCCGATCATGCTGGATCGCGAACTCGTTCGAATGAACGTACGTTTACACGTTTGTACCAAATTTCATCAAAATCGGATCATTTTTGCTCGAGTTATCGTGCTGATGGACACATATATATATATATATAAATATATAAATATACTAGCTGACCCGGCGAACTTCGTATCGCCTAAGTTATAGGTTTCCCCTAAGACAGACCGATGGAAAGAAAGTACCGTTACGTTTAATTTTCAAGATGATCTCGTTCGCATCGCTCAATCACGTCCTGGTTGAAGTTCGTTCGCTACGCTCACTCACCTTTGGGTTGGAGCTCGTTCGCTACGCTCACTCACCTTTAGGTTGGAGCTCGTTCGCTGCGCTCACTTGCCTTCAGGTTAGCTCGTTCGCTACGCTCACTCGCCTCCAGGTTGAAGTTCGTTCGCTACGCTCACTCACCTTTTGGTTGCAAATTAGCTGTTGTCATAAATGTAAAAGCAATAATAGTGCTGCACCCTATTGGTAATCCTTGTAACTTTAATGCTATTGAACATCATAGAACAGAACCAACTTGTTTAATTGAAACAGCTGTTAAGATTCATTAATTCCATTTCTCATAAGGTTAACATGGGAAACTCCTTGCCACTGGGGCGGAGCCCTTTTAAGAATTTCGAAACGGGAAATAGTTTACGTCCGATTTGCATACCTACAGAATTTACACACCAAATTTCATAACGATCGGTGAAGTCGTTCCGGAGGAGTTTGCAGACAAACACTGTGACACGAGAATTTTATATATTAGATATATATGAATTTGAACGGATGGTGTTTTTGGCCTCTAGGGACCTCAAAACGAAAAAAAAAATCGGTCCCGCGTCCAGGTCTTACCATGAGTACTACGATAATAGCTTATTCCCTATATGGGAAATTCGCTAAAACACATTAACTTAAAAGTAAAAAAAAAACAGCAAAATATCCAACCAAACTTTATCCAACCCGACCTAACTTAACCAATGCTTAAGCCTAAGTAAGCAAAATGCCGAAAATTACGGATTTTTTTGATAAAACAAAACTAGGTTAGGTTAAATAAGCCTTTAGCTATTCGCGAGTTTCAAACACGAATTTTCAGGGTGAAATAACTTAGTCGTTTGTCCCAAAAGTGCCAAAGGGAAAATGGTTCAAAATAGGGCAAATAACTTAACACGTTCACTGCGTTATATATTTTCCTACATTATTCCAATGGTGCGTTACGAGATCTATAGGTGTCTTCCCCGCTATGATTACCCAGGTGCGATTACGAGACTCCGAGATTATGTTGCGCAGTAATCTTTTGCGTATCCTAACCTCGCAAAGAAAAGAGAGAGAGCGCTGAGTGTTTGTTAATGTGAACCAGTAAGCTATGTTGACAATCTTCAGCCAGCCCAGAAAGTGAATAGGTCTATGACGTCATTGTACGAGACCCTGAGATCTTGTACCGCACAGCTGTAATAGTTCATTATTTGTTTGTATTCTTTTCCTACAATAACAAATTAAGACAAATAATATGTGTTATTAATTACGAATTCCTAATAATCGTAACTGTAGTAAAATATATATTTTATCTTTCTATTATCACTTTTTATGCGTTTCCTTACGGCTGATTTCAGGCTAAATAAAATAAAAATGAAATATGTTTACATACTGTATTTATTTTCTTATAATTTTGGGGTTGGGCAATGACCTCGAAAGAGTGCGGGCTACAGTGAGTCAAGTGGGCACAGGGTGAAGGGGTGGGTGCAACCTTGAAGCTATATTTAGACTTGCACCAATTCCCTAAAGGGATGGGAAAGAGGATTCCAATCACAAAACAATGAATGATACAAAGTTGTATAAATCATAAATTCCTTGTCCGGTTTGACAATTATTTAGCATTGATTTTTGTATGATTTAGTAGGAACCAGGATGAATATTCAAATTAATGCCATGATTTGCTTTTTTTACATCAAAATACAACATTGCACAATCGTGATATTTTAGGTCATTTACCAAGATGACCTTTATTATAGTGCTGTTTCAGAAGAGAAACACGTCGATAATTAAAAATAATTCATGTTCCCATAGTTGAAAACAATTATTACCTACGTAAACATATATAACATTAGATAAAAGGTAACAGCAATAAAACGCAATTGTTCTTTCTTTTTGTTCTTCAATGAATTATTTCTTGGGTTTCCTTCTTTCATCCAAGCATTCAACAAAAGTTGCCATGGTTTCTAATCAATCACTAACTTCTTGATCAGCATCGTACGTGTTATTAAATTACCTGTAAACAGCAAAAATATATACGTATAATAACACTTGAAGGTAATAATATATTTAAACACTTAAACTTACTGTTGACTTAAAAGACGGTAGGCCTAAAAATACAGATAATATTTATACATATATGTATTTACCGTCTTATAAGTCAACAGTAAGTGTAAATATATTATTACAAGTGTTATTATACGTATATATTTTTGCTTTTTCATATACTAATCACCCCATGTGGTGCTTGGAAAAACTATTTTTGATACGAGACCCAGAGGTCTCATATCTTAATAAAGTAAAAGTTTATTACTTCAGTGCGTTTATGAGATCTATTTATCTCGTTCATTTCATGTTTACTAGTTGATACATCAAGGGAAATGCATTATACCTACCTATATATGTACAAATTTAATTTATATACAATAACAGTAGGCCTATACACGCCAAAATATCAATGTCATAACTTTAGGAAATAAGCCAAACTATGGGTCCCGCACTACGGGCTAGGCACGATACGAGACCTCGGGATCTCACAGTGAACGTGTTACTGTATTAAAGAAAAAAATATAATTTTTTTTAAATTTGTTAGAAGCCCCTAAAGTAAACAAATAATCAAAATTAATGTACCTTTTAAAAATTCTGTTTGATAACAGAAAAGGCATGTGGGGTAGGCATAGCCTATATCAAAAAGAATTTCGAAATGTTACAAGTTTAAAATTGTTTGTTAAAACTGAGCAATATTTAATTGTAGTTTTGTCAGCTGGTAGGCTAATATCGATAGGCCCAGGCCTATAACTTGTGCCTACATAGAAAAAAAATCATCCATAATAATGAATGTTCCCTTTGACAGGATAGTACCGTTTATCGTCAACTTAGTGGTTGCTCTTTTGGTCCCAACAATACTGGTAAGACCACTGGTCAGTGCTCTGATGTGACTGATTGTAATACAAGCTCAGGTATGATTTGTTGAAGATTTCCTGCCACCCAAACCTTTTCAGTGCAACAATCAGTTTTTAATAGTTTTCTACTTAATTTATTTCACAATCGTTTATACACCACTTTACAAAAGTTTTAATGTGGTAGCCTACCGGTAGGCCTACATAGGTTTAAATTTGATTTAAATCAAATTTTAAGTTAACTTGAGAGCTTTTAAGGACTAAATTGTGTTTAATAATGTAGAGTACCTTACCGGTAATTTAAGTTAAGAACTTAAGTTATATCTACGCAGCCAGGATCACTAGTTAACTTAACTTGGGACTTAGACTAACTCTCGGACAATAGAATAGCCAATGGTAGGCAAACTATAAACTAACATTTAGGCCTAATTAGTATTAAGTTTAAGTTACACAGTGCTCGATTTGTAAAAATTAGGTGCTGGAACACGTCCCAGCCTTTTAACTTTCAACTTAATGTAATTTGTATCTACTAACTTATTCAACTTAAGTTATACCAATATTTGGCTGCACTTTACTTTAGGTCCTACACGCATTCGAATGAAAATATCGATTATTCGATTGTTTCATTCGATATATCGTTTGGTTAGTTAAGTTAGGTTAACCTTACCTAACTAACCAAACGATATATCGAGTGAAAAAATCGATTAATCGATATATATTGATCGATATTGTCATTCGAATGAGTGTAGGACCTAAAGTAAAGTGCTGCCCAATATCTTTATCTTTCTGAAAGAGAGGTACCGGATCTCTATTCCACCGCATTTCTCAGTAAATCGAGCACTGGTATTACGTGCTGTGGATAGGTTGTTGTGTTATCTTAAAGGACGCATGTCACTTAAACCTACAAATAGGCTGATAACTTAAGTATAAAACCTGAGAAAGCTTACCAAGAAGCAAAGCTTGGGCCAGTTGTGAATGAAATATCTATAGGTGTAAATTGAATAGGGCTCGGATAAGTCTTTCTGAATGAGTCTCATAATGTCAGGCATTTGTAATTCAGATTTGTACGAGACATATTCAACTTCTGATGGTTCACTTGTCTTCCGATCACAATTTCCGTGTGAAGGGATTGGGTGAAGATCTACTGTTTTTGAAACTATGGCACCACTATCATCGGAAGCACTTGAACATGATGGCTGACCAGCAATGTTGTCACAGTCTGTCCTCCCCATTTTGACAAGTTCTTTGTGATCAACAGAGTTTTCACTAGGTACTTGTTGATTACTTTGACTAGCACTACTCAAGGATTCATAGGTTTCTGGCTTGGGCATATGATCTATAAAGTTAGATAAACTTCCACTAGGCCTATTGCCAATTTCTAACCCATTAACAAGTCCATTTGGTCCCACATGCAAACCAATAGCATTACATTTTTCTTTAGCACTTGACGTTGGAATTTGTTGACCTTCTAAAACTACTTTGCTAATAGAGTTTTTCAAAGTTATATTACGATTTTTATCCTCGACAGGCTTATCCATATCTATATTATCAGTAACGCAACTCATCGATGAAGGTTCTAAAGCTACATTCCCTTTGAGGTCACGAACACTTGTACAATCACTTTTCGTCATTTCATTACATTCATCCATATCTGAAATTTTAATCCAAGTAGTAGCTAGTATCCAAACAATACTATAATTCAAACCCTAAAATTTAATATTTTCATTATAACTACACAACAAAATCGTGTTATATACACCAAAAACGGAGACACTAAGCGGCATCCATATTGGATTTTGATTTAGTCAGAGTCAGATCAGATCAGTCCCAAACCCAGTCGACGAAACTTGAAATGAAAGAAGTATGCTGCATTATGAGAATGATAAATCAGCTGATCTAAATCCAAAGCCCACTAAGGGTTTGTGGTTTATTACTTTTATATAAGTATACATTACATATTATATGTGTACTAGATAAAATGCTATAAATGCATTCAATAATCACTCTTGAGATCAAGCGTTACCAGGGGCCCATTTCATAATAAAGTACAAACTAATATTATTAGTAAATCAGCTGATTGCCCAATGCAAATCTAATGGAAATAACAAGTTACAAGTTGTAACTTGTAACTTGTAGTTTATTATGAAATGGGCCCCTGACATCAAAACAAGAATTCATTTATTTATTTATTTCATATGGAATCACTATTTTAACAACTATGAAACACTAGCTGGCCCGACAGACTACGTCCTGTCCTATATTGTGGTTTTATGTCACATGCTCGTTCATTTTCAAGATGAGCTCGTTCGCATGGCTCAATCACGACCTGGTTGAAGTTCGTTCGCTACGCTCACTCACCTTTAGGTTGGAGCTCGTTCGCTGCGCTCACTTGCCTTCAGGTTAGCTCGTTCGCTACGCTAACTCGCCTCCAGGTTGAAGTTCGTTCGCTATGCTCACTCACCTTTTGGTTGCAAATTAACTGTTCTCATAAATTAAAAATAAATATAGTGCTGCACCCTGTTGGTAAACCTATTAACTTTTTAATGCTATTGAACATCACAGAATCAAATTGTTTAGTTGCACCAGCTGTTAAGATTCTTTAATTCCATTTAAATATGAGTACTCATAAGGTTAACATGGGAAACTCCAGAGCCACTGGGGCGGAGCCCTATTGACGGATCTGCACCAAACTTCACACAAACCATCCTTGAATAATGCTTAATAATGCCTGAAAGTTTCATTACAATCTGTCGAGCGGTTTTGGAGTCCATAAAGGACAAACATACAAATATACAAACATACAAACATACATTGGATTTTATATATAGAGAAAAGGCAGATGCTTAGTGCCAACCTTCTATAATATACGAAGCATGTTTTTTTTTAAGTAGGCACCGTTTAAAATTATTCCTTTCCAGCGCTGCGATTGACATTTTTGACATTTGTGCTAAGTATTAGCATCTATTGTCAAGCGGCTCCGTGTTTAGCCCGGACGTGTTTGACGCGGACACCCTCAAAATGGTGTTTCACCCGGACGGACGCTTCAGAAATCCCCGCGCCACGGCTGGGTGGGTAATTCGTCGCTTTTCGCCCCCATTATATCGAGTAAGGACGCTCGGTGGCGTTTCCCTCCCAACACAGGGAATTATTACTATCGTAACCAGAACTGGTGGCCCGTAGCTACAAGTGGTAGAAAATACTGTTTTTTTATTTATTATTAATTCTATTCGGATTTCAAAAACTAAACGCTATTACTACCTGTATAATTGCAAGCACGGAATCTATAATGTTATAAATTACAATTACAAATATTGAAAGTAAAAGTAAAGCCTTCAAATTTTAGTATTATATCAAATATTGCACATACTTATTAACAATGAACCTGAGCATATTCCATAACAATTAGAGAATGATTACTTAGGTGGCTATTTTAAAATCAAAATTTAAACTTCAATTTTAGTCCTGCCCCACGGATGGGGAACAAGACTGTTTCATGATTCTTAGCCTGAATTTTATATACTGCTTTACTGCTGTACCGGATTTTTTAAATTATGACACAACTATATATATATTAATGACGTAAGCCGATTCTTTGCGTCAAAATTGTGGGCAACTGGGAAGTTGTAGAACGACCGGAGAGGGCTCAAATTAAAAGGTCTCGATCCCGTAACGGCGGGAAAAATACCGGCAGTGAAATTCCAAAACTGTTTTGATCGTGATTTATCTTTAAGCCAGTATGCAAAATTACATTTGGATTACTCCATTTGCTAGTCAATTCTGCAACATACTGTATACTATATAAAACCAGGGTTAAGGTTACATATATTAATTAAGACTTTTTAGGGTTATAGAATGTTGAAGTAAATTATTTTACTGTGAAACTTTTCAAATTTGTGTATTTTTAACGTTTAACATGAAATAACCACGTTGACTAAATAATTAACGATTTAAGATGGAAAACTTCTGCTTTGTTTATATTTCAAAACACATGTTCTAGATTTATTCTACACCTTCTTTGTAAATTAACTAACATTTTAAATTTTGAGATTTATTGTATATATCAATTTTTGTATATAATTGTATATAATAGGGCCTATAATTTTTATTTATTGTATATAATCAATATTTGGTATGAAGTTAAATAACCTCAACGGCTACTCTTACAAAATAACCTGGGAGTAAAGATGAAATAGGTTTGATCAGGAAATAAATTTCTCAACTAAGTGAGTACTATGACAAGTTCCAATGGGCGGAAAAACAATATTGTTTGGAGGAGATTTGAAACAGGTACTGTCTTTACGTTCCAAGCGAAAAAGGTTAAAATAATATAGCCTAGCAAGTATGGTATAGTAGTAAATGGAGCATCCATATATAACAGTAAAACCTAGATGTAGTTTCTGTTTCTTTACGTTTTTTAAACAAACCAAAAATATGCATGTAAATGCTGATGAAAAGTATTTTCGTAATTGGTTTCGATAACTGGGTAATGGAACCAGTCCAATCGCAAATGAGTTAGGAATCAGCTGATGATTAGACTTATTTTATGGTGGTGTCAAACTTTATTTGGTGGTGTCAAGTCAATCGCACCTTTACGTTGAATACCACCTAATAATCTTACACTAGGCTAATTATTGTAGTTTTTTTATGTTGATCAGGTTAGGTTTGGCCAATGGGATACATTTACTTCACACTAATTTTGTTAAACCTTTTACAAAAGGAGTATAAACTATTATTTTGATTTAGCTGTTTTGGCCAAGAACTAAGCATACCTCAAAACACCTTCTTTGCCTTTTTATATTTCACGAAGGCAATGTCTAACATTCAAATCAGGGAATCCTTTTTTATGCAAGTTAATCACGAAACTAAATCTACCTTAGTATGACAGTACCGTATTTATTCACAAACAAGTATATGTTTGCTGCCTTTAGCAGAGTGATTTACTTATGGAGTGATTCAAATAATCTATTGAAAATAACATCATCAAAAGCAAACAAAAACAAACAACAAACTGTTTCTACACAAAAGTAAAGTAAATTAAAGTAATGTGTTCTCCATAAGAATAGCATTAGCAGCCATTTTACAGCTGATTTTTGTTTACTTCAATACTGCTGATCGTGATTTATCACTAATCCAGTACGCAATATTATAATTTAGAGGATTGCATATATAATTCAAATATACTCTTATTTGCCAGTATATTCGGCAATGTACTGTATACTGTATAAAACCAGAAATAATGTTTTCTGCATAGACCCTTTTCGTTAGTCTAATAACATCCAAAGGCTCTCTAAGAGTTCAAGTTCTTATTTGTATACTTATCTATTTTGAGATAGACCTATTATGTTTTCACTAAGCTGAATGAATACATCGAAGTAACCTCTCTGAAACATCTGCAGAATATTGCAGTATATCAAATATTTAATAAAATCACAATTTTATAATTATTTGCAAATCTACATGGCTTAGGCTTTCTAATGACCCATTAATTAACAAAATCGTTCCAGTAGAAGTCTAGATTTAGTTGTACAAAGTTTAACAAAAATATCCCAAACTCAATATTTTCTCATTACTATAAATTCGGAGGTTGCTTAGCTTTTTTGCAAATAACTTTTAAATGGTGAGGAAAAATAAGTGAAAGGTAATATTCTGAAAGAGAATAAAATTTCCTACAAATTGATACCATGCACTTCTTGGAAATATTCAAAAATGGCAGCTAAAAGCCGCGCCCAAATAAAAAGTGTGAAAAACACCGTTTTCAATGTATTTCTTATGGAAAACACGTTTTCTTTAATTTATCACCATAAATCATAACAAAAACAAACTTTCATAATTATTTGCAAATCTACACGACTTAAGCTTTCCAACGACCCATTAATTAATAAAATCGGGCCAGTAGAACTCTAGATTTAGTTGTACAAAGATTTTTAAAACTGAATCTATAAAAGAGGATGTTTGTATATTTGTTTGGCAGTGATAAACTCAGACACCGCTGAACCGATTGCCACGAAACTTGGTACATACGCGTAGAATGTCATGGAATAGGTTTATACGCCATCAATTTCGCGATCCGTCCAATCGGCTCCGCCCCAGTGGCTCTGGAGTTTCCCATGTTAACCTTATGAGAAATGGAATTAATGAATCTTCAATTAAACAAGTTGGTTCTGTTCTATGATGTTCAATAGCGTTAAAGTTACAAGGATTACCAACAGGGTGCAGCACTATTATTTCTTTTACATTTAGGACAACAGCTAATTTACAACCAAAAGGTGAGTGAGCGTAGCGAACGAACTTCAACCTGGAGGCGAGTTAGCGTAGCGAACGAGCTAACCTGAAGGCAAGTAAGCGTAGCGAACGAGCTAACCTGAAGGCAAGTGAGCGCAACGAACGAGCTCCAACCTAAAGGTTGAAATAAACCCTAAATATGGTTTGTATTCTAATCTTATCTTAAACAATAATAATTTGAGGACAGAGGTTTTAAAGCATGAGGTTTAATGGTACATAAGTTAAATGATTAAAATGGGGTTACAAAAAATTGTTCAGGGGTGGGGATTCGTGCTGGCCGAATCAAAAGATTTCAAATTTAAATTTTCAATAAGTAAGTTATGGTAAGTTATGAATTAAATAATCTTTTAGAAACAATGAGTTAAATAGGAAGGATTTTGATTTTAATTAAGAGAGGTAAATTGGGTCCAAATGGATGCTTGAAGAGTCTAGTCTGAGTCAATAACTTAATAAAAATGGAATGTTCTCACCAATCTTCTGTAATAATAATTTTCTTCTTAGTTTAAAGGCTTAAATTCTTCTT